TTCTTGAATCAACCCAACAGTGTGTTATTTACCGTTAGCCACATCTTCCCTGAAGGATTTTTAAAAATGACCCTGAATCTTTGGCAATATCTAGCAAGTGATAAACTACCTCTCCCTTTACTTCCAACAAAAAAGAGTTCTTTCTTCAATGTGTAGCTCAACGTCTTGTGCCTTTTGAGTCTTTCTCGGTGCCTTTCTCTGTCTTCTGTATTCAACTCTTCAGGCTTGTGGTTATGAGTCCGTTTAGATCACTGTCATGGTCAATTGTTCTAATGAACCCAATAATCTTAAGGGTGGCCAAACCTCCTTTTGTGGAAAACGCGTATCAATCGATTTCAACTGTTGTCCTCTGTAGCATGTGTTAATCTTATGAGATATAAGGTGTCAATAGATGAGGCCATACCTGGTTTGGCCTTCCTCAAATTGTATAGAAACCAATATTTGAGCATCTGTTTTAGGCACTAGCAGGACACCGTGTGTTCCAACATCTTAGTCAGTCAGCTAAGGTCTATTGTAGTTGGGTTACACTAAGATCCTTGCACTGAAGTTGGAAGGTAAGGGGTGGCCTGACCTTGTCGATTCACTTCACTGAAAATCCACTGTAGCTGTCTGTGACATTAAGAATACAGTATAAGTTCCCTGCTATGGCTGTGCACTGACTACTATTTATTTCTGTCTTTCAATTGATTATTCCTTGGGCACCAATAATATGACAACTTTCAGATACGTTAGTGCTGCAAATTCAGATCCTTTTTCTCATGGGGGCTAATATCTCAATGTGAAGACTAAGTTAACAGTAAGTTTACGTTACTGTCTACTACATATCTAAATATGTAGAATAAGTAACAGGTTTAGGCTTAGAGGGAGAGAGACAGACAGACACAGACAGGCAGACAGACAGACACACACACACACACACACACACACACACACACACACACACAGCTACACATACACAGTGAATAAAACCAGAAATGGAGGGAGAGGATTATACCAGCCGTAAGTCTGCAATTGTATGGGTCAACAAGGAAGGGGTGGTAATTGTTTTTCTATGTAGTCCAGATGTAACTTCAGCTTTGTGGGCCATCAAATCTCAAATACAAGGACTCTACACTGTCCCAGGTACAAAGGAAGCCACAGACAATCTTTAAGTGAATCCACTTGGCTGTGCTTTAATTGAACTTTATTACAAAACTAAGCTCCTGAACCTATACAAAATTTTACAAAATACATACCAAAAATTGGCCCATGCACCATATGCATGGGTTGCTGGATTGCAGTATTAAAGTATTAAAGTCTTTTTGGGGATGCCTCTCTGAGGAAAGGACTTGAGACTATCACTGAAATACACCTCACACTGCCTTCCTGTCTCCACACTGCCATTCTTACTGGGCTCCATTGAATCTCTAATCAGCACCAAGCTTGGTCCTGTTTTTGGCCTTGATGTTAGCTTGTTTCATGTCTGTGTTCACATGCAATGATCCCTCTACATTATGAATGCCCCCTTCACATAGTTTTCGAGTTATATGTCATCAAGCAAAATGTCACCTTCCATGGCTTTTTGAGAACCACATCACAACTGTTGTCCCTTTCACAAATTTCTCTTGATCCCACTGGCCAGTATGGTCTTGACTATGACATTATTATTGTGTAACCATGTTTCCTTTATGCTTTTGTTTTATCTCCCCTAAATTAAATGAGAGCAGCCATCAGGTCTCTTGTCTAAGTCAACAAGCTATGCTCAGAAAATGAAAGTGTCTAGTGTAAAGCAGATATTCCATAAATAGTTGTTGGATGGATGAGAGCGAATTCCATTTCTGAAAAGTCAGCTAGTATTCAGTTAGTAACAGAATTTTGTTACTCTGAAAGTTATAACTAAAATCTGAATTTTCCAAGGAGGTAGGAAATCCATATGCTTATGTTAAATTTCTAAGTTAAAAAAGTTAACCCAAAAGCAAACAAAGATCTTTTTCTTATCAAATGCAATATTTCTACAAGCTACTTACCTGGGGCATGTGCTGTATTACTTTGAGGGATACACAACTGAATTGCTTCAGTGTTTCGAGATGAAAGGTTACTTTATTCTTTTAATATATTTTTTGTACATAAAATATATTTTAATCATAATGGTTCCCCTTCTTCAACTCCACTCCGGTCCTCTCCTTAAGTCATAGTCTCTCACCACCCTCCATCTCCCACTAAAATATCAAACCAACCCCCCCAACAAAACAAAACCCTCAAAGGTCGCAGTAAACAAAAAGTGCACACACGTGTGTACACATACATGAATGCATGCATGCCTACAAGTACAACGCAAGACAACAAAACCCACAATGGAGTTTGTTTTGTGTTTGCCAACTCCCTTTGGGTTGTGGCCTGCTCAGGTGAGTGTTGATATATAGCTAGTGATGCTCTATTGATGGAATCTGATTTCCCTTTCCCAGCAGGTATCAACTGCAGATAGTTTCTTGACTAGAGAAGGTTGTGTTCACTTCCCCTTTCTGCTGGGACCATGTCTGACTTGAACTTGTGCAGGCCTTGTGAGTACTGCCACGGTCTCTGCGAGTTTATACATGTAGCTTTGGTGTGTCCTTGGACTCATCAACCACCTCTGCCTCCTACAATCTTTTTTTTTTTTTTAATTTTTTTGCCCTTATTCCAGTTCCCTCTCCCTCCCTTCCTTACTCCCTCCCATGCCCTCCAAACACCCTCCCATCCCATCCCCCCCCAACTCCACAGGGTTGGTGATGCCTTCCAGGAAGGGTCAACAAAATTTGTCAAGTCATTTGGAGTAGGGACTATGCCCTCCCTCCTGCTCCTAGGTTAAGGGAGTATCCCTCCATGGGGAATGCGCTCCCAAAGTCCTTTTGTGCACCAGGGATACATCCTGGTTCCACTAACAGAGGTCCCTTAGCCTTCTGAGACCCATGTTCAGGCAGTCTGAGTCAATCCAATGCTGGTTTCCTAGCTTTCAATATGGTGGTTCCTCAGGAAAATGGGAATCAGTCTACCACAGAACCTAGCAATCCCACTCTTAGGCATATACCCAAATGATCTACATCTATGCAACAAAGACATCTGTTCAGCTATGTTTGTAGCAGCATCATTTGTAATAGCAAGAACCTGGAAACAACCTGGATGCCCCTCAACTGAAGAATGGGTAAAGAAGATAAGAAGATGTGGCACATCTACACAATGGAATACTACTCTGACGGGGTGGGGGGGCACATAATGGAATCTTGAAATTCGCAGACAAATGGATGGAACTTGAAGAAACCATCCTGAATGAGGTAACCCAGTCACAAAAAGAGGACTATGGCATGTACTCACTCATATATGGATTTTAGACATAGAACAAAGGATCACCAACCTATAATTCACACCGCCAGAGAAACCAGGATACAAGGAGGAACCTAAGAAATTCATACAAGTTCCCTCACAAAAGTGGAAAGGGACAAGAGCTCTTATAATCTTTCTGCCTCCTCTTTCCATAGATCCTGAATATTAAGTGGAGGGGTTTGATGAAGACATGCCAGTTAGAGCTGAGGGCTTCAAAGCTTCTCACTTTCTTCATGTTGTTCAATTGTGGGTCTCTGTGTTAATTGTTGTCTACTACAAGAAGAAGCTCATCTCATGAGGGTTCAGTGATGCACTGATCTATTAGTATAGCAACATGGTATCAGGAGTCATGTTATTGCTTTGTTCCTTTAGCAGAATAATAGTAGTGAGTCAAATTGTGACCTTAGATGACAAAAGGCCGGTACACATACTTTTTTACTTAGAATAGCTACGTAGATTATTTTTTTCTTTTGTTCTACATGTAGTGTGTTTCATTAGGGTAAAGTATTCTCATAACTGGTGAATATCATTTTGGAAACTGGTGTCAGCTCACAGGATTTCTTTTTCCTGGTAATGCCTGCTTGTCTTTACTACAGCAGGGTGGAATTCCTGGCTATGAATTCCTGAGCTATGTGGCATAATTTGAAAGTACTAGGAAAGTCAGAAAAGACTATATTTTATTGATTCAGTAATGTACCTCTGAGCACTGCATCTGTTTTTAGCAGATATTCAATAAATATGTATTGTTTTAATAAATGAATAGAATCTATATTGACAATGCTATGTGGAAAATGTGAGTAAACTAAAATAAAACTATCTTGTGTAATTTTGTAATATTGGAGAAACAATTTTAGTCAAGCCAGAAATGTTGAAAATCTAATATTTTAATGCAAATTCAATGTATATTATAATAGTTGAATTTGTAATGAATGAAAATATATAATGACTTGAGGGTCCCAATCCTGTAAAGTGCTAATCACAGACAGTATTTATTGTGATGTTTACTGAATACCAAGATTTTATACTTATTATTAATGTGCATGTTAAAAAGAAAGTGATGTTTTATCTCCCATTTTTTGGTTACAATTTATATTCCTGTTGAGAGTCACACAGGTACTAAAGGGCAACATCAGGGCTAGTCTCCAAGTGAGGCTCTCTTCAACTGCTTCAATATGAGCATAGCTGATATTTTAGACAAACTAAACAAGAAAAGCCCGGCTCTGAGAGTATTGGTAGTAAGATCATCTCTTTCACTTCCTATTTCCTGTAAAAACATGGCAGTGTTGGTTAAGAGCAGTTATCAAAGGCTTACTTATCTGTTAAACAGTTAACATATGTCACCATGTAAATGGAGACACTCTATTTTGCTCTAAGTCCCCATTCTGCTTAGTTCTTTTGGGTCATTTAAATATCAGTGTTTCCAGGGTTACATCATCTGGAGTAGAAATCTTCCTTCCATGCTGCTCCATCTTTGTGACTGATTTTGTCTTTGTGACTTACATTTTGTCACAGTTGATAATATTGAGAAACTGGGGTTTCTTTTTCTCTATCAGTGAATTTTATCTGCCAACTCTGAAAGTGACGACATAGGGAAATGAGAATTTCATTGGTTTTGTCAAAACACAGGCCTGTGGAAGTGAATAAATATAGGCCAGCGAGCATTACAGTCTCTTGAGCACTTTATTTGTTATAAAGACAAATCCATAGCACACAATGGCACCTTCTTACTTCCAACATCCGGGATTACAAACGATTAGCTCATAAAATGGTCTCAGGTTTTTAATGTGTTGTTTTAGATATTATTGAAACCTTATAAAAACAAGACTCGCTACAAACGGGATCGGTGTTCAATGTATATTAAATGAGGTCAGATAATTAAATTCAAAATAATTTATAAATATTCAGATAAGAAAATTGAAATTACAAAAGCATATTTTGGTCAACATTAAACTGAACTACAACTGTGTGTGGTTAATGCTATATCTACACAGCTAAGTTTTTGTTAAAATACAGTTTTAGTTATCAAATAGTCTACCTCATTCTCCAGTACAATCACCTACTTCATTAGCTACACTCAGTACACATTTCATCCAGAAATCACCCGTTTTACTCTAGTCCAGCTATAATGCACACTCTTCTGTCTCAACAGATGCAGTCCACAAAGTGCCATCATTCCCTGACTACAAAATAAAATACAATATTTAAAGGTAAAAACTCAGATAACTTCAGAAATGGTAACCCATTCTTTCTGTGTTCATGAAAATAGGCAATCCAATTGGAAAGTTTTTGAACCAATGTAAACTCTAGAAAACTCATGTTGAAGTATGGGAATAAGGACTCTGCACTAATATAGTGCGTAACAATACAGTGTCAGACTCGCCATTTACAATAAATGCCTTGATTGGACTTTCCCGTGGATTGTCAATATGCGGCTGAAGATCAAGTTTACTCAAGTCTGTGGGAAATCCTTCATGTTTTCTTCCTCTCATTTTCAAACAGGAAGAGAAGGGTTTTCAGGCCTCTTGGGAAAACCAAAAAAGTAAAACACTCACACCCACAAACAACTTGAAAACAAAATGGCAGACCCAGTAATCCTTGACTCCATGTCCAAATGAAGTTGGGGCACTAGTACATTTTCAGTGTTTGTATTTCGCCCAAGGTATCACATCGTGTGAGATTCCTCAAATAACTGAGAAGTCTGAGAGCTACAAAAGAGAAAGCATTTAAGGCAGCAGTTGATGTCTACATTTGGATTCCTTTTTCAAGTTACATGTCCAAGTCTCCATCGTAGGCCAAGGTCAGTGGCTTCTGATGGCGAGGTGTGCTTTGATGTGGTTTTGGCTTCTTGCTGCAAAGGGAAAAGAGTTCTTCAGATAAAGGTTACAGAGCTTTTCTTCAGCTGTCAAAGACAATTTGAAGACTGGGAGTTCTAGAGGAAAAGTTACAAATGACTCACTTATTAGTGAGTGTGGGTTTTCTCTTTTGAATAAGTCGTGATTCTTATCAATGGAGAGATAGCTGGTGGAATGCACTGTGGGGAATTTGATCATTGTGTGAACATCATAGCTCACACTTTCCCATTCTATGCTGACCGACTCCAGCTTCACTGGGCCCATAGTAGAGGCGTGTAAGTAGTCCACATGATTAGAAACTGCAGAATTTTGTGTATGCCTGTATTCCTCAGTTTAGTTCTTTTAAAATATAAGCCATCATATTCAAAATATTAAAAATGGTTTAGTGGTTTAAGTGGCTTAAAGGAGAACCGTTTTCTGCATTCATGTTTACACACAGAAAATTGGCCATCTGCTGCCCACTGACTCCTGAGCTACCATGACCTCCGCATCACAGATGTTTAACATTTTAAACAGCTGGGGCAGCCAGACCCCTGTGTCTTACTCTGGCCTTGTTTTGAAGCAAACATATTTCTGCGCTGGCCTGAAACCTGCTATTTATTTGGCTCCCAGCCCACTGTAAGCTAGCAGAACAAGTTCACCAGTTCTCTGCAAAATCATCCTCACCTGGGCCTCGCTTAGCCTGTGAATGACAACTTTCCTTACAAAGAGGAAGACTGTTTTTCCTACTCACAAAGAACCTGGCATATTCACATGGGTAGCTACTGTGTATTGCCATTCTTGTTTCTTATTTACAACTGAAATTTTGTCATGGACTCCCATTCTCCTCAGAGCCTGGCTCTGCCATGTCTTCTCTTCTGCCCTGTCCTTATCAGGGACCCCTCTCTCTCTCTCTCTCTCTCTCTCTCTCTCTCTCTCTCTCTCTCTGATTGGTATGGCATGTAGTCCATAGCAGCATCTATTATTTATTTTTATTCCATGCCTACTGAGTGCCAAGTCTGTGCTAAGCATTTTGTATTTCTTCCTTCCATAAGTCCCAGAAACCTGATTGGGAGATACTTGTTAGAAGTAACATTCTCTTCTGCCTGGAAAAATGAGTTGAATTTTATATCCAGACTGAATTTAAATTAAAACAAAGCATTTTAGTTTATAAAATGCAGTGGTAGCATTTACTCCTGTGTCATCTGCTGTCATAGCCATCTGTCAAGGGAGCATCTTCATCACTAAGCAGTGTCCCGTTCCCCCTCCCATGTTCCCTGGCAACTGCTAATCAACCTTCTTTTCACCCCCTGGTTAGGGTGGTGAATTTCCTGATATTTGAATTTATTAGGATATAAAAAGTTTGAGAGGAACCAGTTGTAGGAAGGATTTCCTAATTTAAAATGCCCAAAATCTAATTTAAAGAGCAAAATTAATTTTTTTCTGATTGATGTCTGAAGTAAGCCATACATGTTAAAGAGGTAAAAATTATTTCTAAAATTCTACTGAATGAAGCCATACTTCTTCCCAGGGGCCTTCAGCCAGCACCTGGCATGCAAGGGGTCCCCACAGAGGGTTTGCTGAGTGGTGGGCACAGGCTGCCTGCGGCAAACAGCTCCCAGGCAGAGAAGCTGATGGGAAGCAGCAACTTGATTTAGAATCCTCTGCAGAGAGAGCCCAAGCTTCCACATCCTGCCTCCCAGGCCCTCTCCGGTTCTCACAGGGGTATTGTGTAATTACTTGACTAGCATCCAATTTAACTTTATCCGTTTGAGTCATATGTATATTCCAGAGGCTTTATTTGGAGCTCAGTGGAGCTTCTAGCACGGAAAATAAACCTGGCTTGAGGCAGGGTCCTCAGCATGCCGACCCAAGCATTTAAAGGTGGTTAAAAAAAAAAAAAATCAGTAGAGAGGTTGGGACCTCCTGCAAGTGACACCTTGTATATCTACGTTGGTGAGTACAGAATTTCTTCTGAAGCAATGGCAGAGATGTCCTCATGACTCCACGATGTGGAAAGGAACAGGGAACCCACAGAGTGAGAAATGCAGATCCTACAGTGTTTGGCAGTCTGTTCTTATTTTGCATGTGCTATATTATATGCTCCTAGATGGACAGAGAGAGAGAGAGAGAGAGAGAGAGAGAGAGAGACAGAGAGAGAGAAACAGAGAGCTGGGGACCTGGGGAGTAGAGACAAGGAACAGCAACAATGGCTAGATTTGTGTGAGGAGATAAAACCATTGCCTGGGAGACATGCAAACTTGGCTAGGCTGTGAGAGTGAGGCCTGGAAAATTCTTCTCAAAATGTGCACAGATGTAGATTGATGAACACAGTTTCCATGGCAGGGACAATGGCGTGGTGAGCCATGCATGGCCTGGAGTCACTGAGGTTGGGGTTTCCTTCAGTGCGACTCATTTCACAGTGTGTGATCTGTGCACACTATGAGCTCAAAGATCTCAAATATGAATGGGTAAGATCTGAAAACCTTTGCAGTATTTAAAACAAATGAAACCCCTTCCTAATGCTAACCTGGGAACTCTAGAATACAGGTCCCTGTGCAAAGCTTTTCAGGCTGGTAGAAAAGCTCCCTAAAAGGGAAGGTGTGCGTGGCGTCCTTGTAAAAAATCATCTTTGGAGTTCTGGGATCCTTTTTCTTCTGCTCTGTTGGAACATGTCATCTTTAAGATAAAGGTTCTTTCACTTTTTCATCCCTAAACTCTGATGTTAGGGAAACACAATCACATTTCTTCCTCAAGCAAAATCAGGGACTGCAAAGGCCTGGCACAGGCTACAATCGCCACTGCCAGCGCCCAGCAGCATCTTCCCCCGTGTGTGTGTGTGTGTGTGTGTGTGTGTGTGGTCATCCTCCTGTTGAGCCTTACAAAGTGCCCTGGACAGCCACTACTGCAGGCAGTCACACAGCGTAAGACCATGCTGCTGTCCTGGCTATGAGAGATCACAGAAGACACATTTTAAAGTGGCCTTTTTTGAGGATATCTGTGTTTTAGCAAAGTGAAAGACCGCATTCAGCCAGGAAAGCAGGCAGGCCAGCCTCTGACGCTTCTAAGTAAGTGCCTTGGAACGCACCCACAAGGAACACCCCTAAGCTAGCTGATGCTGCATAGTTTGATGGAACATTTTTGTTTGGACAGCTATCTGTGAGAATCAAGCCTGTGAAAGCCAGGGCAGCACTCTGAGCCATGGATGGTGAGTCTGATACCAAGCGTGTTGCCAGAATGGGCATAGTTATCTAGAGTGTCTTCCAGGTACTATGTCTAGATTAACCACAAGCTCACCTAGTAGGTAGCTTCAGTAAATCATTATTAGATGTTTATTCCCAGGGGAACCCAAGCAGGCCCTTACCAAATCCCCAACACTAATGGATGCTCAGAAAGTCCTTGTGGAAAGGAAATGCTTAGGGAGACTGTTTTTCTGCTTTTCTCAAAAGTCCTTCCAATGTTATTATAAGTTGCTTTCATTTAAAGTATACGTCTAAACCCTGGTATATGGTAGGAATCTTACTACCGCAAAACCTTTGTTTTGGTGGAAAGCAGAACATCTCCAAACTGTCATCTTTGAAGGTTCCTACAAACTATTTAGTAGAGTAGGCTGCTCTGAAAACAGGAATTTGGCTGTCTGTAGGCAGCTCCTTTGAGGCAATGAAGGAATGTCTCTGCTGGCCTGTGGCTCACGGTACTGGTAGAAATGTAGGAGTTAGTGCTAAAGTAGAAACCTAGGGCATCATTGCATGTAAACACCCTGCAGGGGAGCTGAAGGGAGGGAACCTGGAGAAGAACCTTGCACTTTGGGGATTAAAGAAAAATTTCTGTGCAGTAGCTAGTTCTATGTCTAACGTGCACACATTTGACTTTTAGTCACAAATCCTAAAGTCTGAAAAAAAAACCCCATTTTTATTAATCAAATCATTTATCCATTCACTTATCCAGGTTTCAATAAACAATGATCCAATTTGTGCTGTAAAAGAACCCATAAAACATACTTTCTTGGAAAAGAGAGAGAGAGAAAAAAGAAAGAGAGAGGGAGAAAGAGATACCATAGAAGAGGTGAGCCATTATAGGTTTGAAGAGAAAATGGATTCTAGAGAAATGTCTAGAGACCTACAAGACTGACCCCAACTAAAAATTTGAGCAACAGTGAAAAGGCTACCTTAAATACCCTCCCTGATAATGAGATTGAAGACTTATTCTTCACTGTCATAGAGCTTTGATCTAGTAGCTGATGGAAACAGAAGCAGACACCCACAGCTGAACATGGAGCAGAACTAGAATCCAGCTGCAGAGAGAGACGACAAGACCAGGCTACAGAAACCCAGAGAGACAGCTACCCTGAACAAGGAGGAGCTAATAGGCCCCCAGAATGATGGTTGGGAATCCAGCATTGAACCGACTCAGACCCCCTAAATAGGGGTCTCAGTTAGAAGGCCTTGGGCAGTCTAAGGGACCTCTGCCAGTGGAACCAGGATGTATCCTTGGTGTATGAAAGGACTTTGGGAGCACATTCCCCATGGAGAGACATTCCCTTAATCTAGAGGCAGGAGGAAGGGCCTAGACCCTACTCCAAATGACTTGACAGATTTTGTTGATCCCTCCTGGAAGGCATCACCATCCCTGTGGAGTGGGGGGGTGGGGGTGGGATGGGATGGGAGGGTGGTGGTGGGGGGCATGGGAGGGGGGGAGAGAGAAAGAGAGGAAGGGAGAGAAGAGAGGGAACTGGGATTGATATGTAAAATAAGAAAAAAATACTCTCTCAGCCTAGACACATGGGGGAGGGCCTAGGCCCTGCTCCAAATGATGTGACAGACTTTGAAGAAATCCCAGGGAAGGCCTCACCTTCCCTGGGGAGCAGAAAGCAATGGGATGGTGGTTGGGGGGGCAGGGGAAGAGGCAAGGGAGAGGGTTGACACGTAAAACAAACTTGTTTCAAATTTAAATAAACAAACAAGAATCCATAAAACGTAGTCAACATAGTCTCTCTTCTAAAGTCTTTGTGGTTCAGTAGAAAGTTGACAGATATCTAGGCAAACACCTATACTGTGAGCATGAAGTAGATGGCACAGGGGAGGAGACACAGAGGAGCTATTCCAGGCTCCTTGAGAAGGAAATAGGTTGGAATTTGAGTTTTACTGGAAGCCTGGGTGGAATGCCAAGAATTGGTTGCAAAACTTCTTTTTTGTTGAAGGGGTCATGGGGATTAAACCTTTATTATAGGGAAAGGTTTTATTCAGAGGAGATTGTGAATAAACACAACAGGACAAACACAATGGCCAGGGAAATGTGAATAGACAGAGTGGGCTGTTGGGATAAAATAGCTGGAACAACAACCCAGACTCACAGACATGCTGTGTCTCAACCAAGTGTGTGGAAATGAATATGGTAAAGAGGAAAGAATACACCTGATTGCCAACAGAGGGGCTGATGGGATTGCCCCGTGGCAGATGTGGAAGTATATGTGAATGCTACCTAAAACCATTACTACCATGGAATGAGCGAAATCAATACTTCACGGTAAGTATTAACATATGACATGGGATTGGGTATACGAGTAAGCACATTAATTAAATCCTTGAGTGAATTATTTTTATTTCATATAAATACTTAAGTCGGTCATTTTGAAAGATATTTTCTCATGTGAGACAATACATATAAATGATTTGGGGTCCATGCAGCATAGGTTAGTCTGTCCAGGGCCCAGGGAATAGCAGAAGATGGAACTGGGAGTTGTTGGGGTTTGGTCATGAAAGACTTTAGACATCCAGTTAGACAATGAAACATGACCTGGACTTCATCAGTAAAATGAGATCTTATTAATGGCGTAAAGAAGAGAGGCGGTGATCACTGGAGATGTAGTTTAGGAAGGCTAGTGTGGCCACAGGATGAAGAAGACATGTCTAAATCTGAGCGTGGGTCTTTTATATATACAGTATAAGTTGGCCACTGTGAATAGAAGGGAGAAATTCTACTGGTATTTTGTCGTCATGTCTTCTCAGCAATCATGGTTTTGTGCCCTAGTCCCAGTGTTTGGGAGTCTTAGTCTGAAAATCAAACTGAGTTTAGATCACCCTAGGAGGGACTAAAGGAAGGAGGGAGGGGGAGAGAAAGAGAGAAAGAGAGAGTGAGAGAGAGAAAGGGAGGAAGGGAGAGAGAGCAAGGGAGGGGTTTTTGATAAAAAAAAAAAAATCTTAGTACCAGAATCCAGAATTCATAGCTTGGAGTTATATGCAGTCTTATTAAATATATGTTGTTGGAAGAGAGAACTACAGATTAAAAATGTGTAACCTGAGGGGAAGGGAGAATAGTATCGAAGGAAATATTCATGGATCTACATGTATTTCTACGTGTAGAAATATTAAAAACTACATGCTGGTTTTCAAATTCCCAGGTATCAGAGTGCATAGGGAACAACAGAATCTAGATTTGGGATGATGCTGTTTGGATTGAGGACATCCACTTGTTTTTATGTTGCCATCAGGCAGACCAATGATCTGGAACTTTATTGTCTGTGACTTGAAGAACATCTACCTATAAACCTTCATGTCCTATACTGTGACTTTTAGAACATTCCCCTCGTCTAACCCTTTCTGTTGGTGGGTGTCTCTGAAACTCCTAGGAAGTGTTCAGGCTCACATTTGTTCATTATGACTAGATGTCCACAGTCCAACTTATCAACTGAAACACTTAAGCTGGTCCAGTCATTTGATTACAGGGTGGATGACTGCTGGAGACAGCAGTTTTCTACTGCATCACTCTGGAAGTACTAGCTGGATTGAAATCTCATTTCTAGGAATTCAATTTTGATCACTGCAGGTGGTAAGAAGGATAAAAGTCATCCGATTTTCTTCACCAATTTTAACTGACCAAAAGCAAAGATTTTAAAGTCTATGGAGCCTTGGAAGCAGAACTTGAAAATACATATACAGATTTGAGTCAGGATTAAAACTTGAGTCAAAAGTCTCAAGAAATATCCTATGAGACAGATGAGAAATATAAATATCTCAGATGGGAGAGAAAAAAAGCCAAATAACACTTAGATCTCATAAAAAAATCCTTGAAAATGTTGCTTTGGAAGCTAATATAATATTCTTCACATACTTTATAATATTCGAATTTATTTATGTGTATGTAGTTTCAAGAACTGATCTTCAACTAAAATATATATTCTGTAGAATAAACTAATTAGAATTTTCAGAGTAGGCAATAGGACTAGTCACTTACAAAGCAGAAGTCCCTGGAACTGACAGCTAATTAGATATTGATACTTAATATTATCTTTGTTATTCAAAATGCATTAAGAGGGGGAACCAACTGGTTAATTTACTCTAACATAGGCCCAATTAAGAACCAACAATAAGAATAATGTAATAACTGGAATTACCTAAAGTAGTGTTCTCAGACTGGCAACAGATCAGAATTACCTGGGGAATTTATATATGTGCAGAAGTTCTGGCCATACCCGAAAGAAAATAACTTCAGAACAACATTATGACCTAGCAGATGCCTCATATGCATGATGATAAATACAGCATCTGAATCAAATGCTAAGTACAAAAATGTCAAGACATGGTTTGTCTATCTTCTAATATTGACTGAAAGCCTAATAAGATGTGGTATCAAGTGGTAATGATACTGTTAATGGTGCCATAGTTCAACTGTTGATCTCTCTCTCTCTCTTTTTATGGTCCTGAGATCCTTGTCATTTTTACCAACATCTTAACAATATAGTTCCTTTTAACATGCCACACACACACACACAAATAGAGCTTACATAATTTCCATTCCTTGGTACTTACCAAACAAGATAGGAAGTAAATACTAGGAAAATCATGATAAGAAAACTGCCACCTGAAACGCCATAAACCCACATTTTTACTCGGCCATCTGTTTAAGACAGAAATAACATAACAACCTTAGCACACAGTCAGCAATGTTTAGGCGAGAAAACACATATACATGGTAACATAATGTTTACAGCCCAGAGCTAATGATTAATCCTACATCTGAAATGGGTGTCTAAGCTAGTTGATTACTCAATGGGCATGATCTGTGAACTACCCCGTGGAATCAGGTGTCCACAGTTTTCTCTCCTGAGCACAGCAGGAATAACAGCAATCAATAGAAAATATAGGTCACGAGTTTGAAAAAGAGCAAGGTGGATATAAGTGAGGGGTTGGAAGGGGTAAGGCAAGGTGATATAATTATACTAATAAATTTTAAAACAACATATAATTTATACAACATTATATCAGTAGCCGTGAACTTTCTAGATATGAACAGTTTATAGAACTCTAATCTTTAGTAAATTAGCCCTTAAGAACATTAGGCTGTCAGCCAAGTGTGGTGGGTCAGGCCTATGATGCCAGCACTTGAGAGGATCACCCCAAATCTGAGGCCATCTTTGTCTCAACAAATGATCAAACAAAACCTTTAAGGGTTAAGGGTGTAACTGCATTGTAGTAAATACATTTTTGGCCAAATAATTTCTCTTCCACCTAAACTGACAAATGTCCATAGTTGTAAGCTACACATTGGCGACTGCTGTTAAATATAAAAGGGTGTCAGCAAAGAAGGAAATAAGGTATGAATAGGTCAGAAACTAAAATATAAACCCAAGTTCCCAACCCAACATGAGATACTGACAGCCCTTAATTCATCAAATCCACTGGAGGATATCTGAACTTGTTTGAAGATGCTCATATATTTGCAGATGCAATGTAATAATATCAGCGTTCTCCCAACATTAAGTACAACAGCCACAACAAAAAAAAAAAAAAATTAAAAACTACAATTAAAAAGATAACCACACTTCTCAGACCATTCTTTTACCAAAAGGGAACACATTTCAAAAGCTCTTTCTCCTGAATGAAATTAGGTGAAGGAAAATAATCAAATGGGGTTTCTGCATCACACACCACCCTCCCCCAAGGTCCAGGGAACACACCCTCCCCCGAAGTCCAAAGTTGAGGGCGCATTATGGAAAGAGGGACAGAAAGACCAGAAGCTGTAAGTCAGAAAGGACTTTGGAGAAACACTGTCGTCTGGATCAGACTCTATGAATACAGAGCACCTGTGGCTGCCTGCACAAAAGCTGAACATTCCAGTGAGGACAGGGAGGGGCTCAGAGCCCCACTCCAGCGGAGGTGCTATTAACAGTTAAGGGCTACCTGGGAAGGGAGAGTTAGGTATTTTAGGGATATGGACCCTGGTAGGTTGACCACACTATAGTGGATGGCTCCATAACTATGTGTACATGGGCAGTACTTACTGGCTGGAATATATATATATATATATATATATATATATATATATGCACATACATGTATATATGTATAATTTATATGTATATATTAAGAACATATATCATATAAATTTTTATACTATATAATACTACCCCTTAACTATGTGTACATGGGCAGTACTGACTGGATTATATATACATGTGTGTATATATATATATATATGCATACAAATCTAAATTAATATATATGTATAAGTTATATGTATATTAAGAAAATATTATATAAATGTGATGATTACATAACACTACAAATTTATGATCATGCATGTATAAGAAGACATCATTTTAGATTTCATACTTACCACAGTTAAATGAAACTTATTAGTCATGTAACTATTACAGTCTATTTGTTACTTTTTTTTTAAACAGGTGAACTAATATTTTCATTTTTTTTTTCTCCATTTAATGTAAGAGTGTGGCTAACTACATGTGTAAGTGAGCTAACAAAGGCAACTGTTAGCATCCTAAACAAATGGCGTTTCTTTGTGAACACTCAGGGATTCAGATTCACTCCCTGAGTCCACAGGACACACAGTAGCTTCTTACACTAAAGTGTGTGTGTGGGACGGACAACCACCCAAATCCATTGTAAAAGGTTTGTTTAGATCAATTCACTACATTTTTTTCATGCCTCAGAGACTCATTTGAGAATGGGGTTCAGTGAAATTATATCATTCCGTGGTCATAAAAATCTTTTAAAATTTTGAGAGTGGTTGTCCTGAAACACAAATGAGGAAATTCACTCTGAGCGTTTACACTGGAAATCTGAGCAAGAATATTCCTGGCATCTTTTTACCCATAGGACCTCAGTGCCCAGACCCTGAGTGCTTTTATCCTCAGTGTAGATGAATGTGGTGGGCCAGAATGCTACTTGAGGGTGAATTTAATAACTAAATTAATAAATAAGTATACATTTGTAACAGTATAATGAGTAGACTTAAAGAAGAAACTATTTAAGGGATGCAGGGTGCAAATGTCTGTTACCCTTTACTTCCTGTCCTGGGAGCTAGTGCCTGAGAATCTTTCTGGTCTCGATGCACACGTGCAGAGGTATGAATGTACACATGCACACACAAACACACAAAAGAGTATGCATATTGTTCACTAGTCAGTTCTGTTTCTCATCAGTCCCTATAGGCTGGTGCTAGTCCTAGTGCACAGTAGCAGGTATATCTCCCTTCAGTGTATCCGCGAGACACATTGCACAGCTGAACCAGCTTGTGTTTCTATAACATTCCATTTATGGGCATCTCTGTTGCCTCTACTCATTTGTTACAATAAGCAGTCATGTACAGGGAATCATCTGCATTCTTGTGTGTATGTGTGTGCTGGATGAACTCTGTAGAGAGAAACTGCAGATCAAAATGTGGGTCAGATAAATAGATTATGACAGCCTCGGGGTCCCCCGAGGGGCTTTTCAACATTGTGCTTTCACCTAATGTATAATATGAAACATATAAAATAATATTACGATGATGTATTATATATAATGTAATAGTAATTTTAGAAATTAAAAGTTGTTTCACACTGACTGAGCAGACTGAAAAGGCATCTTGGAGAGATTGCTCTATGGTTGCAGCACTTACCCCATCAGTGTGAGGAGTGGGGTTTTGATCCCAGCACCACACTCATGAAAAAGGCGTGGTGGCCTGACTGCACTCCCAGAGTGTGAGAGTCAGGGATGGGAGACTCTCCGAGCAAGCTGTGGACAGAGACTAGCTAACTTGGCAAACTCCAGGTTCAGCTGAGAGCCACTGTCTCAATCTACGAGGTGGAGAACTCTGGAGGGAAAGATCTGATCACCACTTTGGACCTCCATACACATGTACACACAAACACATGTGTATCCACACAAGCACATAGGCCCCACCACATGGAAATAACATGTACATACAATGAAAACATGTACGTACACATGCAGGCATGGCACACGCAAGCACCTGCAAAAGTGCCAATATGTCTACATATATATACATCCACACATGTGTGCACATATACACACACATTTTCTGCCTACATGCCCTCACATGTGTGCGTGCATACATATTTTCACATGTGTTAAGACACCTACATACATGTGTATCTGCACATTCGTTTTTTTTTTTTAAAAAAATCTGTAAAACACATATGCCTGTTTAATGCGCATTGTGACTTTATTATAGCTGTCTTCCTGAAGTTGCATGTGTCATGGATGAGAAGTCCATGTGTGGCATATCATTCAAATATGCCCCTGCGGGTTTTTAAAACTGAGATGCTTTAAAATATCTTCGGCATATAAGAGAATCAAAGGTTGAGTGGGTTGCTATGATTGTACTGAGAAGACGGAGCATGAACCCGCCTCCCCATCTGGGTTGGGCATCCTTTGCACACAGCTGGGCCCTGCTTTCTTTTTCTTCATTTAAATGCCATCAGGGACCTTTAGGTAACCAAGACTGCAGCCCAGAAGGAAAGTTTCCAGGGCCCACACATCCAAGGTTTGTCTGTCTTACCCTTCCCATTACCTGTCAGCTATGTGGGTTTTTTTCCTGGCAGTTTGAAATGTTTAGCTTTGGAAAAGAGTTTAGTGTGAAAGGCATAGACATGTCTGCACTTCACGAAGTGGCACACGACAGTCTTGGCTACCTGAATCTTAAACTCACCGTTGTCACTTTCTGGTGTGACCCTGGTGAAATTACCTGCTGTTGCCAATTTCAGTTTTCTTAATTTCTCCAACAATGACGATAGCATGCACTTAGGCTGCAAGTATGCAGTGAGATGACTCGTGGCAGCAGAGCCAAATAGCACATTTTCTTTCCTGCTTATAATAAACACTAATCTCCGCTCCCTAGAGGCTGGACCCTTGGCCCTGCCCACCACAGGCCTGCGAAGTGGGTTCCATACACTGATGTTCTAGGTAAAGGGACTGAGACAGAGGTGGTTCGACACAAAGTCACACTTGTTGGTTTAAGCCACGGGCCTGAAAGGCCTACCCGTCTTGGAGACAGGGTCTCCTTAGCATCTCCCCTAAACCCACAACAGGTCTGTGGGTATTTCCTGTAAGTTTCTGCGATTCAATCCCAATTTCCATTTAATTTCATTTAAATGCACACATCCAGTTATAGAAACGGCAACAATTTACAATTAAAAGACATTTTCCCCAAGATACTACTTTGTTCCTTAACTTGCTACCTCTTGGACTACGGTTGACAGGCTCATAAGCATCCATGAGATTACTTTATGCTTACAAGGGAGTAGGAAACACAAGACACTCGAATCAGAGAAACCTTGAGCTAAACCTCATGATTAATCCCTCCCTGCGTCCCTCCCTCCATGCCTCCCTCCTTTCTTTCGGTCCTTCCTCCCCTTTGCTCCCTCCCTCTTTCTCTTCCCTTATTTGAATAGGAAACACACCTGGGTCAAGAGGTTGAAGAGACCACCCTTTAAAAATGTCGTGTATTTTGGAATTGACAGGTCTGTTTTTCCCAGGAAGGGTTTTCACATCAGCTTTTTTGTCCTCTGAGCCAGGCACCTTCATGCAGTAATCCAGGAAACCACTTGATCTCATTATCTCTGTGTAACCCTTCTCACAGCCACAGACTCCGCCCTACAGCACAGAAAGGAGATGTGTGGTTACGAGGGAGTTGTGCAAACGAATAAAGAGGAAGGCAAACACCTGTGGAATCACTTAATATTTGATACGCCCTGGCAATGCAGGGGTTTCAGCAACTGATTTACCAATGGGATAGAGATCAAGTATGTAATTCATCTTTCTGGATCCCAATGGCAGCACTAAGTAACTGTCCAAATTATCTCGTGCTTATAATTTGGACAGTTTCCAAATGGGGCATCATAGTTCCTTGCAAACAGAGTGTATTAATAACTTGTTTCTTCTCTTAGAATGTTTATAGCATTTCATCAAGTTTTCACCTCCAACCACCCCTCACTGGCTTCAGATGCCCGCCCAGAGGTTCCCGTTTCCCCTTCTGACTGCAAAGGAAAGCCACAGGCTTTGTCTGAATTAGGTGATGCTGGGTGCTGTCATTACCCCAGATGCTAGATGTCTTTATCACCTTGTACCGTTGGTGTTTAACTAGTCATGACTGCCTTTCTTTTCCTAGGAGGGAGGTCCAGGTGGGGGAAAGAGTCTTTACTGAAATCACATTAATGCCACCTCTCTTTCTCAATTACTCTTCATTGTAGTAACTCGAGTGTCACACTATAACCCATCCCCACTTGACATTGTGATAATGTGTCCTTTGTATTTGCTTCTACAGTTTCTGGCCACTTTCCTGTGTAATGAGTGCCTCTGACAGGCTAACTATGATGGACAATGGTAGACAAGGGTTCCCATGTGTCTTGGGAAGTGAGTCAGAAACTAATTTCTCCTGGTCCAACAGACAGACACCAGGAAATCAGAGAACAGAAAAAGGGTGTGATTATCATTCTCTACGAGTCGGCCATTATGGCTCTTTATGTACAATTCACCTTCTGGCATCTTCTGAACAGATCTCCGCCTCTTATAGCCTCTTAGGCCAATCCTCATCAAACAGCTGGTCTTACTGGGATCATCAGTTGTGGGATAAATTTGATTTTAAGGAACACTAGCCACTGAAACTGAACAAAGCACCTTGATGCACTAGAAAAGGACAGATGGCAGCCAGAGAAGTGAGTGCGGCAACTAACTGCCCGCAGTTCAGTGCACGACAACGTTATAATAATGCCATGTATTTTCAGTTGATGGACATCATCACATGGCGGTATTGTTGCAAACATCTTTAAAGGATGAATCTCCATTGTTAGTCTGAGAGAAGAGCTGTATTCAGTTAGCGGTATGTGACAAGGGTTTAAGGAAGAGTTTTTATGTTTTATTAACATGAATATTCATAAGGTTGGGTGAAGGCAACTTATAGTTTGCAAACATTGTCAGCCCAAATGAATTTATTTCTCCTTGTTTTACTTCTACTTGCTGCAATCCTGTTAGTATGCAGGCGTACATTCAGTATATTGGCCTGTCCTTGGGGTTCTGACAGGATACGCCCTCAGCTGCAGCCACTAAGAGCACCACCTGTGCGCATTCACTATGTTCCCTTTTAAAAGGGCCCTGCCCACCTCCCCATCTTCCTCTCTGTTTCTCCGCCACTCTGTCTCTCCCCTTCTTTTACTCTGCCTCTGTCTTCTCTTCTGCTGCCCCTCTTCCCAGAGGCCAGTCTCCCCTCCTCCCCGTCTTCCTTTCTCAGTCCCTTTCCCCTAATTAAAAAATATCCTTCACATGAGCTCTGTTGCACAGCATCTTGCCTTTCTCTCTCAAGCCACTTTTTAAATTACAACACTATCTATTTACTTTCTGAATTAACCCATCTTGAAGTAGAAGAGTCATGAAATAAGATCGAATGTCTAAATACTCTCATTGCATTGCTTTTCAGGATGTACACACTGCAAGAAGAAACCCGCCTCCTTGAGATATGCAACACAGCTTTAAAATATTAAATATGCATTGCAACTAGTAAGGGCCACTAATTACAATATAGTGAACATTTGTCATCAGTTCCCAAGCAGACGCTTGTGGAAGGAATGGGGGAGAAAAGTAAAATCCTGCATTAAAAAAAGTCAAACAAACATACAAAAAACAAAACACGCATGCATGCATGTGCATACTCACCACACACACACACACACACACACACACACACACACACACACACACACACACACGGACTTTTTTCCAGCCAAGGTTGTATGTTTAACCTACCTTGAGCAAACTAAAGTTTTACCCACTCTATAAACATTGCAGTGTAACAAAATTTACAAAAAGAATATTATCAAATGTGAGCAGCGTGTATGTATTTCAAAAAAGCTCAGTTACATGGAAGGTTAAAAATAGTATGCGTACATGAACTAAAAACAGTTTTTGGTAGATGGAGCATTTAGACCGGTGAAGGGCAGATTGGGTGTAAGTCTTGGCAATTGTTGTTCCCACTCTAAGTGCCTCTAGATGGCGGTGTGAGCATGTAAAATTGCTGCCTGGCTGTAGGAGACTTGTCCCTCACTGCATTCATCGTGTGTGTGTGTGTGTGTGTGTGTGTGTGTGTGTGTGTGTGTGTGTGAAATTATAATGCCCGTACGGGAGTCCAGCAGGTGACTCACCTGTGTGCAGTAGGAGAAAGGTTTTCTGCAAGCTGGAATGCACTGCCGAATAGCAGCTGGGCGTGCCTGAGGGGAGCAGCCGCCTACAAAGGCAATATCAGTTATTTGTGGATTTATCTATGATAATCATATTTAAAAGCTTTCTATTCCCCTCTAATACTGGGGACATAGTTATCATTGTTAACATCATTATTATTTTACCATGGCTTAAATGCATATGTCAGTCATATGCTACAACTCTATTAATCACTCTAGGATCTGTTTAAGATGAGACATTTATAGAGTTTTCTTCATGTTCATTGACGTCAAGAGTCTATTATGTGTCTATAATTGAGGGCAAAGCCTGTGGGCACCCGGATCAGTACACGAATTGATGAAATCTCTATTAGGTTCAAGAGCAGCAAACACAGCTGCTTAGAGACTCATTGCATGTATATATTTCTCCAGTTCCTGGGTGGCCCAGCAAGGCATGAACTAGGCTGATTCAGAAAACCAAGTAAGAGAATGTCACCATTGATCCATGTGATTGTCACATTGCTAAGCACTGTGCAAGGATTTTATAAGGACCAGGCCTAACGAACATACAGGGTCACATACGGGCCTCCTATTCAACATGTGTGTAGAGGCAAATTCGTAAAGACTAGGATGGACAGTCTGATGTTCAACCCAGCATTTGCAGCTATGTAATCACGTATGCAGGGTTGTTTAAATATGGCAGTCAAAGGAAGGAATGAGCTGTTTCTAAAACCCACCCATGCACAGTACTGGTTCAAAGTGCGAACAGACATGAAATAGGTTTCAAGATAATTCGATTGAGAAGTTGATGCACTTAAGGGCAGCGTTAAAACTGTATTCATATGGTGTCAGTCGAATTTGTAGGCTCTGATCTACAATGCCATAATTGTCAACCAATTACACTTTATGATGTGGCAGCTAGCAAAAAAATAAAAAGGCTTCTGGCTCAAGGTTATAGAGGAAGAGCCAAGCTTAGACATTTCCTGGGAATGAAGCAACTACACTGTCATATTGTTCAAAAAGAAAAATAAGACAAGTAACAGACATCAAAGCTAAAAACAAAACCCACTGCTGCCCAGAGGTGTCGTCTGGAGTTGAATAGTTGTGTGGACGTCAGTGGCGATGACCACACAACACCTGTCCATTTCATTACCATGTCTGGGGACAGGGCATTCAGGCTTCAAATCCGGACTCTCCAGAGTGGCCTGCTCTAAGTCACACCCATGACAGGACATGGCTTTTAAGTGTTAAGAATGAAGTCAGGCTGGAGCCACATTTATTAGGTGATGCCAATGGCATCACTTGTCTGATGGCCTCACCCCCATGCACTGAGAAGATCCATGGGGCCAGCAGAGCCCTCACCAGTGGGTAAGCTTCCAGCCCACTGTGGAGGAGGAGGCCTTTTGGGGTTCCTGGCTAGGCATGATTATAGAGTACTTAGTTTTATCAGCTTACAAGATGAAAAAAAAAGTAGCTCAAAATAAATTACTGTATGGATTAAACTATGGATTATTACCAATAATGTAAAGCCATGTAATCAGGACAAAGGAGGGGCTGCCATTCTCCCAGCCTAGCATAAGCTGTCTGTCAGTTGCAGTACTAAAGTAAAATCAATGTCGATTTAATTTGCTTTGACAAGAAGACATCAAAAAAATCTTTAAAATTATTGAGAAAACCATTTGTACAATCAAATTGTACCCTCTTTTAAGAATAAGGAATCTTTCCTTCAGACTATTTTTAGGCATTAAGTAATTTCCCTAACCAGGGAAACATTCAAAATGAGCCTGCAGATGGTAAACACGAGCATCCATAACATCTAAATTTTTTTTCTTTGCATCATCAATGCCAAAACATTTCAATTTGAAAATTATATGTTTATCAACTCCGCTAATTTGAGCTACAGAGGAGAGTAGGGTGGAGCTTGTGGGTCTGGAGCTGATGCCGAGTGGAGAGTGGAGTCCTCTCTGTGTCCACTGAGATGGTACACGCTTCAACACCTGAGACAAATGTTTTAAACTAGCATGCATCTTTCTCAGGTTTATCTGAGATCATGAAGTTAGGACTATTTCATTGTGTTTCAACTGATCTGTTTGGCTTCTATATACTTTCCGAATCTTCACACGGAACCGCTGATTTCTCGAAAACAAAATGGGAGTGAGGTCTAATGAAAACCTTCCAGGAAGACCGTCTGGAGCGCCTGCTCTTCAGACTTGCTGTAATTGGTCAGCGAATTCCTCAGCAGAAGAACGCGCTGTGAGACCTTTCTGAAGGCTCCGTGTGAATCTTAGAAAGGAATACCTGTGACGTTCAGGCCATCGGAACGCTGGCACCAAACAGTCCGTTGGTTATTGTTCCAAAGACTTGCTTTCCATGCATAGTGGTAACATTTGCCACCTGCAAGTGGATAGGAAAGCTGTAATTCTGTCACGTCCCTCTTAACCAGCACAGTATGCTTTAATGCGTCCAAATGGAAGGACCGAGACGTGACCCTCCTTACCTGTACAAGGTCGTGTTTCTAGAACCTGCTGGGGGCAGCTGTCTTGATTCTCAAAAGACTGAATTATGAAAGTTCTTGACCTGGACTGGCGGCCGGTGGTCTCCAAGCTTCTCCCATCGATACAGGTTAGCTCACACTTGCTCCACTCTGACCACGGGGTTATATGGCAGTCTCCTGGAACGCCACGTAGTGCAGGGAAGGGGAAACTTTGTGAACACAGGTACTAGATATCAGTGACAGGGATGGGGCACACAAGGGGGCGTGTGGTCGAAGAGAGGGGACACAGGCAGGTCCAAATTTTAACTGATTTCTAGTCTGAAAGTACTCTTACTGGTGGAATAATTTATAGCTTAATCTAGTTTGGCAAAGGAGTGCAAAAATAGGTCGCTACAGCCCTGTTTCGAGTCATGGTAGTCATGACTAATGTATAATGTGGCTGCTAGAGGGGAGGTGGGAAAAATCTGGGAGGACTTGGTAGAGGGAAAGCTATACTCAGAATAAAGTATATAAAAAAGATCTATTTCCAATAAAAGAAACAGAAAAAAAAATCTTAAAAGGGAGATGTAATGATTGCAATGACTCAGTTTCCAAGGATCAGCATAACATGTGCATATGTAACATGTAAATGCAAGTATGTGTACACATACAGCATTATAAGGAAATATTGGAAAACCGTAAACTATTCAGTGCAAGCTAAATTGCATTACTAGTGTTAAAATAACCCAATCATTTTCTGTTTCTACTGATGACTTTCTCTTCTGCACAGAACCTGACTGTTTACACAGAGCTCACAGGCTTCTTGCCTTACTCTTGCCAGGATCATCTCTCTCAGGATCATCAATCCCAAGATCCAGTCAGCATCCCGAATGTTGGGCAACATGGAGACATGGCTTGACCCACCTGTTAGCTAGATGGCAAATCCATTGCTCAGTGAGGCCAGAGAAATGAGATGAGATTCTAGCTTCATTTTTGTTTCCAAAGCCAGTACTCTCTCTTTTTTTGTTTTTCCTACTTTGTATCTTTCAAAACGTTGCCATACCCACAATTCAAACACATTAAATCAAATAAACAATTCAACATTGATATGATAGAGCTTTTTGAGGGGAAATGAAAAAAATCAACAAGATCACCATGTGGAGCGTTGCTTATTGGGGGGACCGCACACCTGGGCAAGGCACAGAGCACAGCTGCTTCAGGGTTCCTTCTTGGAAGGGCACTTCTCCACACAGGGCATCCTCCACGTGGACAGCTGTGTGGGATATTGAGCCGTTGTGGACTACGCAGGAGAAGCTGCGCAGCTGCACTCCTTCCCCACAATGTCCACCCTGAGAGGAGAGAGGATGCCCTCAGGGTTAGCCAGATAGAATCGGATGCCCTCAGGGTTAGCCAGATAGAATCCCAGAGCCTTGGTCCCCACGGGACCCCCAATGACACAGAGCAGCTTCCTTCCCTTGGGAATGCTCTATCAACGGTTGACAATAAAGCATCGTGGAACTTCTGGGGTTGACAGGGAAAGTGGCCTAGAGACACGGGCACGTGCTTCAGGGTTTATGCCCCCAGAATCAGATCATTTAATTCTGGGGCTTGGGCAGAGTTGATGAAATGGAGAAACCTGCATAATTTGTCTCCACGATTGTGAGAACATAGTGTGTTCTACAATCACCTCCCAGAGAACATGCACAGCCCCGGGGCATGGGTTTTTCTTTTCTTTTCCTAATTATTTTTTTCATTTGCAGAACTTGATCCTTTCTTGCATGGATCAGGTTAGGATTCAAATAAGACTACGATTTTTCTCTGTTGCTGGTTGAAGTGATTTTCCAAATTAGGCAACTGTATTGAGTGATACACTCTGAGGATGTTTCCCGCCCCCTAGTGTCGCTCAGCAAGCTGGACAAACAGGGAAATTCACACAGTGCCTCACAGACACAGACATGTAGAACTAAAAGGCTTGGGGGTGGGGTGGGGTACTGAGCTCAACTGACTGCTGATGGAAATTTTCCTGCTCTAAGGTTTCCTTCTCATGAGATGGTTCTCTTCACCAGGACTTTAGTTAGGTGCCTGCTGAATTTCACAAAGAAGTCCTTTGGAAATTTGGACGACTTCAGCTGACAGCTACATTTCCTCTCATATACCCAGGAATAAGAGCTGGAGGCAAAGCTTTGATGTTGAGGTGGCTGAGTCAGGGTGTCAATGGGGACGATCAGACAGGCTGAAGCAGAAGAAGGGAGGCAAAGCCAGGGTGGTGAGTCATACACTGGCCTCAGCGTCACCCACAACTGCAAATATGTCTTGGTTGCTCACAATGTCTTCTCGATGTTCCATTCCATGCCACAGTACTACCCAAAGAGGACAGAGGACTGGGTGGGGGCGGCATTTATAATGCCAGAAACTCTTTCAATCCTGTTCTCACTGATCACCATTCATTCTGGTATCTGTTTTCCTATAGAGCTATGTTGAATTCATGTCAACTAAGTCCATCCAAAAGCTGGTAGAGGGCTAGTTTTCTATTTCTTTTTGCTGTTGTGGCTACTCAGTGTCTCTCTATGGAGAAAGAGACAGGCAGAGAGAGAGAGAGAAAGAGAGAGACAAAGACGGAGAGATTGAGGAAATTGCACCATGACAGTCGGGCAACTTTCTATAGTAGAAACTTGGGCTTTTTCTTTTTCTTTGTCCTGTCTACAGAGAATAGATACTGCACTGCCTGGATCTTGGAGAATCAGGAGTTCAAAAAGAAAGAAAGAAAAAAGACAAAAATTAAAGGAGTCAAGATATTGATCCTGGGCATGGAGAATGTGTTCTGCCCACTCATAGGCCAGCTGGCACTAGCCAAATATGATGGTACAAACTTCTGGGCATGTGGGAGCTCATGGGTGGCTTGTAGAGAAGCAAGATGGCACAGACCACCAGCTTGGGGGCTCTCTACTCAAGACAAGGCATGACAGGATATTCGTAGTGTGGCTTCAGTGAGCCACAGTTAACTGTGATCTAACAAAAATATCAAATAGGAAATTACAGAACAAAGAACTTAAGTGTTTAAATATGTGGCATTCTGAAGAGCATGAGGGAATGTTTCCATCCCATTCTATCCCACACATAATGCAAATCACCTGTTTATGAACAGGTTCAAACCCTTCATGCTACTAATCGCCCTTCATGCTACTAATCGGTCAGTCACAAGGTCATCAAATCAAATATTGTGATATAACAGTGCCTGAGTTCAAGTGAGATCTATCTATCTATCTATCTATCTATCTATCTATATACCTACCTATCTATCTATGTATCTATTTATCTAATTATCTAATTATATCTATCTATCTAATTTATTCCTTGTGCTCTAAAGCACAATAATGTGTGTATCTTTTGAGTGTATATTGTAGTATTTATTCTAATTCACTCTAGGTGAGCATTATTTCAGTGTTTCCAACTTAGATATTAAACTTTATGACAGGTATTGCTGTATAAGAAAATTATGCTAAATATTAGGTTCAATATAATCTGATTTCATGCATCATCTGGAAATCTTGGAATGTTATCTGTCATGCAAGTTAAAACAAAAATATGAAAAGGGTTCAACTGGCAAAAAAAATGAAATGTCTGGTTTGGGTAAATCCAAATTGTATAAATTTAAAGCATAAAGAATTTTAGAAATTACAGTTGGTGGATTTAGGAGAGTCCCTCAGTTTTTCATGCTACTATAATAAAATACCTTATGCTAAATAATTTATAAGTGATGGATATGCACTTCTCAAGGGATTCAAAGATGTTCAGCATTACAGGGCCAATAGCTGTGTCCTTTTAGATGGGACTTCTGCTTGTCCTCGGGGGCAAAAGGGCAGGTGCCTTGGGCTTACTGATATCATTTTCCTCTTATATTTGTGGCCAGTCTTCAACGTAAGAGTTATGAAGAAGCCAAACACACCACAGCAGAGGTTGGATCACTCTATGACTATCATTTATGAAAAGTACCATAATTTTAGGCCTAAATGCATCTTTGGAGAGAAGTTTAAAATCAGTCCACAAATGTTCTAATAAACATTTACTGCATATATTGAAAAGATAACGAGAGTGAACTGAAATTCCTCTCTGGTGGGGAGTGCTCCTTCCTACTTAGCATCCAGATGACGGCTTTGGTGACTTTCCTCCACATATTTCTCGCTGATGAGAGTATGCGGACTTTGTGTATTTGGAGACAAGTATAAAGATGCTGTAGCAGATGTGGGCTTTGAAAGTCTAGATACCCTCAACTGATGGGATGAATCAATGAGTTTCTTTTGACAGTTTCCCATCAGGCAGCTTGTGTAGCAGTGCAGAAAACGAGCCTGCACTGGGGATCATCTTAAAATCCAAGACAAACAGTGATAGGCTCCTACTGTGTATCCTGGGATCAGCCCACATTCATCCTTAATCTGCTGTACTTTTGAGGACAGCGCCCACGTGAAGAGAAATCAGCATCAGACTGACAACTCCATTCACGAACCAAACACTCCCTTATACAGAATGTATACACTACGGCCTGCAGGCAGCTCCTGGCTTCTTGGAGCAAGATGGTGAACAGGGAGCAGTCTCTCATCAACCCTCACTGCCTTGATTTTTCATTTATACTGAATCTTCACCTCTGCCGTGTGTGAACAGACAGATGACACTAGTAAACGTAACCACAGTTCCAGTCACATTTAAAATAGCAAACACAATTCATTGAGCTCTTAACTTATGTGAGGTACTGTGCCAAGTGCCTCGTATAAGTTCTCTAAAAAATATCTGCAAGAGTCAATGTTCTCCAATTTCACATTTGATCAACTGAAATTAAAAGTTTTGTAAAAAACATACTTCCAGAGTAAACATGCATAGTCCCCCCTTGCCATTAGTCCTTATGACATATAACAAATGTTTGCGTGCCACTTGCATCCTAATAATTAGCCATGTAACCAATCAAGAAATACTAAGGAATAGAGGCAAATGAAGAATGTAGGTTATATGCAAATACTACAGCATTTTCTATGAAGGACTGGAGCTTCTGAAGGCATTGGAAGTGATGGGGAGGGCGTCGAGGTGTTGGTCTATTGCTACTTTCAAAAGCTAGATAAGAAAATGAAGCTTGGAGTGTTTAGATAATGGGGGTGGGGGGGGGTGGAGTGCTCAGGTAAAACTTCCCATAACTGTGAACTACGGTAAGGTCGTTAGACTCCAGAATCTCATCTCTTCATGAATAGACACGAGAGGCTGAGAAACTTGGGTAGGGCTAGCAGGGCTTCCGAAGGTGAACACATCTTGTCTTGTTAATGTCTTTCTATGAAAATTAGAGGGTGACTTGTCAAACTCACAGTACCATTTGCAAGCCTCCGTCATTATGGCCTGACACTTCCTGAAGTCAAGTAGCCGGGGGCATGCTATTGCCGCCATCTTCAGCAGGCATCTGGCGGATTAGATGATGAGCAGGCAGGAGTATCAGAGAAGCATTGGGGAGGGTGGGTGTGAAAGGCCTGCATGCGTTTTGACCAGCAATGCCCAAAACTTAGCCATATATTTAAGAAAAAAGACACTTCCGTGAAAAGATCCCGAGTGCTTATTTCACGAAGGATTCGCAGGCTTCAGGAAAGTCAGATGAGTTTGGAACTCAGGGCAGTTAGCCCAGGCACTGTCACAGTACCCGCTCTTTTGTTCTTTATTCATGTATTTTATTTTATTTTATTTGAGCAAGTGGCTGACTTTATCCACCAGGTGGAGGAATGTGTCAGCTAAGAGTTTACGGCTGCTGTGTCTTTAACCAGGTTCAAAACCACTTCAAGTTCATGGGCAGGGACACTGACTGCCCTTGTGTAGGTAAGTATCCAAGCGCAAACATGAACTGTTTCTCAGAGATCTGTGTAGAGCAAGACTTTTCCTGAGGACACAGAGTGCTGGTGGGCGAGACTCATCCTGTCCAGAATTTCAATCAGCTTTGCAGTTTCCAGAGGAAAAGCCAACATTTGTCCCCATGGGTTCTTGAGACCTCTAAAATCGTGCCTCATCAGGGAAGCCGCCACCCTCCACCCACCTAGTGCCACCGCAGACCATGGTCACTGTCCATCTTTGTCCCTATGCTTCAGGCAGAAGCTCAAGACGACAGCAACAGATTCCCTTGGGATTTTGCCCGATGTGATCCAGCAGACAAGTTGCTGGAGTTGTCTATCAAAGACAGAAAGGGCTGCTGACAACTGAGAAGGAAAAGGAGTGCATGCTGGGTAAGAGCTGGAGTGTCTCCATCCCCTGTCTCTCTCAGCCTCTCCCTCCTTTTCATCCTTCACCTTCTGTGTTGGGTTAACTATTCTCTTCCTTGCCCAGTAGTGTAATGGCTCTTTAAGCTCCTTATTTACGCTTTCAAAGTTGTCATGCTTATAAGGGGAACTGTTTTGTTCATTTTCTTGATTTCAGTAGCATTTCAAATTGCCAAAGACTTCAGAGAAGCAAGGTTTGGGGACTTAGAGCTGTTAGGTCATTTCTGAATTCACCAGTCAGCATATCTTATCTCCCCAAACAACCACAAAAAGGAACACTAGGGATAAAATGGTGCCACATAGTTTTGTCCCTCTGAGGCCTGTAAAGATACATGGGCATTTAATTTCTGCAATCTTACAAAGCTGCTCGGCATGGCTATCCTGACAGGGGCACTAAACGTCTTGGTAAGAATACGCTGAAGATTTCTTAATGTGTAATCAAAGTGATTGCCGCCTCCTTAAAATATGCTTCTGAATACAGACTGAAGGACAAACTACTAACAGACAGGAAAACCAATGCATCTTTTCTTAAGCCAGAGGCCAGAGAGAGCAAGCAGCGGAAGATCTTCACTGATCCGGCACAAGCTCAGGGTCTGTGACACACAATAATGTCACCAGGCGTTTATATTTCAGGCCAATAAAGAAGTAATTACTAAGGAATTGTTAGTAGCCTTGGTTCATGGAATAATGTTAGAGGACAGCTTTCATCCACTTTACATCTTCTGCCCATAAGCAAGGCATTGTCAAAGCCAAAAGTTAACTTTTAAGAAACACAATCCAAAGAAGCAAGCTGTGAATTTCCAGAGTCAGGGTTTTGCTTAATTAAAAAATCTTTGATATTCCCAGCAAGAAAAGTAGGAAAAAAAAGCATAGAATTCTTGAGGATGCCAAAGAGATAGGCAGCTCAGTGACCCAGTTTGTTATAGTCATTGCCTAATGAATGGCTGCTTACTCTCTTAGCAGTGCAACTCTGTGTGAAATGAACTCACTTGCTTACATTTTCTCATGTTTCCATTGTGTTAAAAATAGCACGTGCCCAGAACCTGATGCTGTGTAATGTCTTTAATCAGTATGTTTGATGAGACACGTGTTCTGTACCTACTGAGAAGCATTCTCTCAGGGCCACTGCATGACCTACCTCCAATTTACAAGCAGACCAGTTGCCAAGGATCCAGCTGTAGCAGGGTATGACTGGGCAGGGTTTCTGCTGGGTGAGCTCTGTGGGGCACTGCCGTCCTTCTCCTTGGGTTGGTATAATGATAGATCGAGTCCGGCTCATTCGACCTAAAACAACAAAGGAGGTGTCAGTTATTTGTTAAAGTCTGGCTTGGAAACGGAGGGAAAATTGTTGCCTTGTATGTGTATGTCTTCATTCTATGATACTGGACTCTGTCCTGTCCAACTCACGCTCAGGTTTCTGCCATTTCAATTTTGATTTTGAAAGAGACGTAAACTATCCCAACACTGATGTTTCAAAAGATCTGAAATTGTCAGACAGTGGTGGCACACGTCTTTAACCTCAGCACCCGGGAGGCAGAGGCAGGCAGATCTCTGTGAGTTTGAGGCCAGCCTGGTCTACAGAGTGAGTTCCAGGACAGGCTCCAAAGCCACACTGAGAAACCCTGTCCTGAAAAACAAAACAAAACAAAACAAAACAAAACAAAAAAAACATCTGAAATTATTCCCATCTTCATATCATTGTTTAGGCATGAACTTTGTATCTCTATCAAACTGGCTGATTTTGTAAATTCTATAATGATAATTCCCTTTAACAAATATTGTTTATTAAGCTTTAGTGTGGTCAAGACTTTTTGATATGCATTAGCTATAGTGGTAAAATTTGTCATATGGTTCTTCTGCTTCCAACCTGTGTGTGTGTGTGTGTGGGGGGGGTACAAATATTACATGCAAATGGAGAAAGTTGCATGGTTTTGTCCACTAGGTGTCTGGAATAATGTGTTAGAAAAGGCACATAAGCCATTACTCCAAAACATTTCACAGGATGGTCACACCCTGAGCTTCTTACGGTCTTCTCCAGTTAATTCAATAAGACCAATTTTCCTAGAGAGTGTGTGTTCATTTCTTCCTTCACTGAACACAAGGAAAAAAAATTGCAAGTTGGCTTATGTGGAGGAGAACCAATGATGCTTAAAAGTCATATACTCAAGAAGAGGTGCTCCACGCCACAGTGAAATAAAGCCAGGGTAAACAGTGGTATCTCCTCACACCACAGAAGCTTTTCCATAATAAGTTCAACGGACCCAAGCTATTCGGTTGAATCCCTGTCTCTTTTTATGGCACCCTCATTATTGATTTTTCTTACTGGTGAGTATGGAGCACATTTAGTGTAATTATTGTTACATAATTCATCTTAGCTATGAATATAATATCATTTCTTGGTTCCAAAGTGATGCATGTTAAAGAGTTTTATGGGAGTATGCACTGGAGCTAGACACCGCATGCTAGAAGGAATCACAGACGATTTTCTTGAAAAGCCGAACTTGGAACAGAGGAGCTCTAAGAAGTTGTGGTATGAGGAGAGTGCTGTCCACAGGGTGGCGAGAAAGGTATTGAACTGCAGGATATGAACCTAATCTGAGAACCTGGCAGTAGCTATTGGCTAGAACAGTGGTGAAGAAGAGAAGATCTACAGAAAATTCCTGGGACTTACAGTAGATATGAATGATCCTGCTTGTAAAGAGAAACAGAATGATGCTTTCATAGCATCCACTTGAAAGGCTAAGGGTATCATACTTCCATAGGGTCAGATCTCTTGCTAATATTCAGAATAGTATCATGGACTTTAGTGATGAAGTAAATCTATCTTTGAAGAAACTTGAAAAAAAAACCACAGGAAGTTCCTGAGAATGTAAATTCTTTGGTGGGTGAGCGTTACTGCTAACATTGTACTCTCTATGCATTAAGTACTAATTGAAAACAGCAGTAATGGAGGGGGCTGGCGGTATAGCTCAATGATGCAGCACCTTCCTTGGGTTCCCACAAAAAGACGTCATCGCTGAAAATCCCTTAACTGATTATGTGTTTATTTCATATTTTTATAAAATATCTACATTATGTCATGCTATCTAAAATGTGTGATAATATATCAATACCCGAGCACTTATTGAGGTGGTACCATGTACTTGACACTATTCTAAACAACTTATAAGTACCAACTCATATACTAGAACAATCTCAGAGAAAATTATACTATTTATCTATATTATAGGTGACAAAAATAAGTCTCAAAGCACTTAGCCCAATTAGTCATGTAGAGAATGAGAGTCATACCTAAGATACTTCAAGCATGCTGTTGGTTAAACAGCAAGAAGGTAGGAGGGCTAACTACATAAAAGAGACTTCTAACAATGGAATCTGTATTTGTGATAACATGGGATTGCTGAATCACTGTGCATCTTGAGCACGGAGCTCCTGTAAATGCAACTGGACATTTCCCAGAATCATAAAATTAAATTATACTCCAAGCATCATTCACAAAATGCTATTTATAGTCTATGGACATATTTGGCTCAAGATCTTCTATGAGTTTTCAATCAACAACTCCTCAACTTTAAATTTTCTGCTATTCTATTGGCCAAAGTACATATTACCTAATACATCATGGCTATATTATTTTTTGGTTCTGTAGTTATATTTACAATGTAATGATAAAAGACTTTTTTAAAAGACCAAATAACTCTTGAGTTTTTTTTTTCTCAACTTGATGGTGTGTTGATGACCAGTACTTTAGAATCATTTTATTTGTTTCCATTCAACTCATTCAAGTGACAGATATTTTCTGTTGTAGATGAAAGTGGAGGAGAAAAATATGATGTTAAAGATGATACAAATGGAAACGGAGGAATAATAGGGAGGGAGCTTTAGATGGGAAAAGAGATGGATGAGTGGGGTACAGCAAGAGTTAGGGGAATAACTAACATGGAGGATGCTTGGAAAAGTCATCCGGAAACTATTTCTAACACACACACACACACACACACACACACACACACACACACACACACACACACACACAGAGAGAGAGAGAGAGAGAGAGAGAGAGAGAGAGAGAGAAACACACTGTGTTTATATTCATCTAAAAGTATTTAGTTTGAGTTAACTTATACAGTCTCTTTCCCGAACCCTAAAATGTTAAATAAAAAGTTCCGTGCCAGATATGGGATTCCCTCCCTTGAGTTATAGATTAGGGATGTCCTAGAAAACCCCCACATAACACAGCCTTTTCTTAGTTACGTACTAGAACTTGATGGAAAGATTCTATTGCTGAAGATAGTATACATTCTGGCTAGAGGACATGGGAAAATTACATTGGTACTAATGAGGGAGCTTCCCCCATGTTGGTTAGTTTTTATTGTAGTAGGAGGTGTTGCTAAGTAGCTTGCAAGGAGAGTAGGAAGAAGTCATCAACAGTCTAACTCAACTGCAAATACTTCAAACTACAAATATGACCAGTGTGGCAACTTTCTGATTGGATTTGCAGCCCATTCTACAGGAGGAAACATATACCTTATACTGTAATTCTTGCCAAGAACCTATGGTTGGGGAATTCTTAGACCCAGATTATTCTGCTAAGTGGACATAGTAAATTCTTACCTATCCATAGATCACTGCATCTCTCATACCTCCTCCATGAAGATGTCAAATGAATAGCAGCTAATGCTGAAACTCACAAATGATCAAAATGCCTCGAATAAACATTGGTGGAGTGTTCAGCCACAACTGAGACATCTATATCACACCCTTCTGTAAGGTTCATGGACATTAAGGAAAAGGGCTAAGGAGATCATAACTGCCAGAGGTTGAAGAGCATAGTGAAAGGGCTAATGAGACCAGCTCTCAGCCCCTACCCAGGGTTCCAAGAGACATGCTTCCCAGGAGCAGGAGGTGTAACAGATTTCTGTAGTAATTTCACACACAATCTGAGGGCCATGCTTTTTATTTCATGTGTTCTTTATTGTTCTGTTTCTACTCTAATAACTCTGCCCTACTTTTAACTTCTCCATGCTTCTTCTTCTAGCTTCTTTATCTTCTATTCTAAAATACCGGTCTCTTCCAGGAGCCTTGAGGTGATAAGAAAATTACAAGAGTTGCTTCTCATTGGTCAAGAACACATTCCTTAATCTAGTGCCTTTGACCATCCAGCCACTCTATCCCTGTACAAGAACACATTACCAAAGCAAGCAATTGGGGCTGAGCTGCTTACCATGGCAACACTAAGGTCCAAGGCCATAGGAGCAAAGCCTCGACCAGACATGGCGGGGTGCAATGCCCAGTGACAACTCTGAGACACAGATCCATTGTTAGTAGACTGGCAAGTGAAGAATTGGCATGCTTTTCTTAGTAACCTTGGTTGGACATCCACAGCTTTGATCTTGTATATAGCTGTAAGGTCTCAAATGTATGCTCTGTTTACAAGAAGTCTTTAGTTTAGTTTGAACTTGTTCTGAGGTGAAAGTGAGCTAATTGTGTGCAATTTGTCTGATCAAAAGAATGAGGCAGACTTATAAAGAGTCTATAGTCCTTGTGGGACAAATAGATGCAGTTATGAAGCATGTCCCAGTATATATATATATATATATATATATATATATATATCTTCCTGACCATCCCTAGCTAGATGTACCCAGCATATGGAACATTTTCATGAGATAAATATAGTGGGAAAACAAAACTATTTATTCTTAGTGAAGAAATTAATTTCTTAGGGAAGAAATAAAGAGACTCACGAGAAAAATTACAGACAGAAGCAACTCGTTTCCACAGCTAGTAACTCACAGCCTTTCCAGGTTGGGCTCTCCATCAGAGAATCACTCACCTGCTAGGTTGGCCTGTTGAACACTAGTTATCACCTGCTGTATTTCTCATGGTGCCTGACACATTAGAGCAGAGTAGTGTCTTCTGGTCAAGATAGGATCTCTGTGTTCATGAACTCAGAGCAGCAGACGTGGCTTGCACAAGATCAACCCAATCAACATCCTGGCAGGGAGGTGAAGGGGCTCCTGAGAACCCCCAAACTAAGGAGGTATGGATGGCTTCTAGGGGAGGGAGAGTTATGTTTCTTTAAGGATGTGTTCCCTGGTAGGGAACCATGTTCCAGTGATAGTCCCCCACCATGTAGCTCAAATTGTACTTGTGAGTTTCAAAGTAAAATAAAGAGGATATGAAGTTGGAAAGGGGTGAAGTAAATTGGGAGGCATTATGGGAGGAGCTGGTGAGGAGGAGTTGGATTGGGAGACATTATAGGGATGAAGGTATGAGTGACA